GCTAGTCTCTAGGAAACTATACTTTTTAAGATAAAATATAGCCAATTGGTAGTGGCACACCACTTTAATCCCAACACTTGGCAGGCAGGGCAGGAGGATTTCTGTGAGTTTGAGGCCAGCCTGATCTATAGATGGTGTTCCAGGACAGCCAAGAATGCTATACAAAGAAACCCTGTTCCAAAAAACAAAAACATAAAATCTACTCAATTAAGAAGAAAAAGGAGGGTTTGAGAGATAGTTCCAACCGTTAAGAGCACTTAACCGTTAAGAGCTGTTCTTTCAGAGGTCCTGAGTTCAATTCCCAGCAACCACATTGTGGCTCACAACCATCTTTTTTTTTTTTTTTTTTTTTTTTTGGTTTTTCGAGACAGGGTTTCTCTGTGGTTTTGGAGCCTGTCCTGGAACTAGCTCTTGTAGACCAGGCTGGTCTCGAACTCACAGAAATCCGCCTGCCTCTGCCTCCCGAGTGCTGGGATTAAAGGCGTGCGCCACCACCGCCCGGCGCTCACAACCATCTTTAATGAGATCTGGTGCCCTCTTCTGGTGTTCATGCAGAACACTGTGTACATGGTAAATCTTTAAAAGAGAGAGAGAGAGAGAGAGAGAGAGAGAGAAAAGGAAGGGGATTACAAAATTATGACCAGTTTAACAACAACAACAACAAGGTCATTTATGAGCTAGGAATGTAGCTCAGTTGGTAGAGTGCTTAGCTGGCACTTGAGACTCAATGCCAGCAGCACCTAGTAAAATCCAGAACCGCAGTGCACATCTAGAGGTGCAAGTTAAAAAGATCACAAGTGGCCGGGCGGTGGTGGCGCACGCCTTTAATCCCAGCACTCGGGAGGCAGAGGCAGGCGGATCTCTGTGAGTTCGAGACCAGCCTGGTCTACAGAGCTAGTTCCAGGACAGGCTCCAAAGCCACAGAGAAACCCTGTCTCGAAAAACCAAAAAAAAAAAAAAAAAAAAAAAAAAAAAAAAAAAGATCACAAGTTCAAGGAGCCCTTCAGCTACACAGTGAGAAATCATGTCTTTAGGGAGAAAAAAATTGATCACATGTGTCTTCAAAAGCATGTTAATGAAGAAAACAATTCTTGACTTAAAAATGACTTTTCCAGTCAACCAGATGGCTCCAAAGTAAAGGTGCTTGTTGAGTGAGCCTGGTCACCTGAATTCAATATCTGAAGCCACCTAAGTTCACCGCTTGGAGCTTACTTAAACGTGGAAGCGAATTCCATGAAGCTGTCCTGACCTCCACACAGATGACTTTAAGGTTTCAGTATCTCATTCTCTTATCTGTTAATGTCAAACTGCCGATACATTACATACACCACACAGTTTGTAGAGTTCAAGACCATCAATAGCAACTAGGTAGCCCTAACTTATGACATATTAAATGGCAAACTTCCCCCAAAGTATGACTGGAAATGTCTCATAACTCCTCTCAAGAGCCTAAATTACAACAAACCTCTTAGAAATGGCAAAGATCCAAATTACTAACTAGTTGGAACAATTCCAAGATCTTGCTCTCCTCTAAATATTGAAACTCCTAAATAAAACTCATAATCAAAGAAAAAGCAAGCATGCTGGTATAGACTACTGAGAGTCTCATTTTCTAGGCTGTTGAACTCAGCTTTTATAAAACTTACCCTCATTAAATTTTAGCTAGCAGTTGTTGGAGGTTTAATCCCAGCACTCCAGAGACAGAGACAGGCAGAGCTCTTTGAGTTTGAGGCCAGTCTGGTCTACAAAGCAAGTTCCAGAACAGCTCAAGCTACACAGGGAAACCCTACGTCTTTAATCCCAGCACTTGTTCCTGTAGACAAGGCTGGCCTCAAACTCAGAGATCAGCCAGCCTCTACCTTCCGAGTGCTGGGAATTAAAGGTGTGGGCCATCACTGCCCAGCTTTTCTGTATTTTTTCACTGTATTTTATTATAGATTAATTATAGTGTTAGTGGCTTACACATATAAATGATGTTAGCCTGGGCTACAGAGTAAGAACCTGCACTGCTGGTGGAAGCAGAAGCAGGTGGAGCTCTGAGTTTGAGGCCAGCATCCTCTACAGAGGGAGTTCCAGTTCACACAGAATTACAGAGAAACCCTATCTATAGAAAACCCCTCCCCCCAAAAAACCCAAAGACCCCGAGTTTAATTCCCCCAAAATATATTGATGATATATAAATATCATGTTGATCTACATGATAAATTTTTTACCTTGGTTTTTTTTTTTTTGGTCTTTTTTGTTATTTTGTCTTTTTTTTTTTTTTTTTTTTTTTCTGAAGCTGAGGACCGAACCCAGGGCCTTGCGCTTGCTAGGCAAGCGCTCTACCACTGAGCTAAATCCCCAACCCCTACATGATAAATTTTTTTAACTTGTTTATGGATGATAAACTGGCACTGATCCTCTTGCCTCATCCTCCCCTGACAAGGATATACACTAGACTCACGATGTATTTTAAAATAACAAATTCTAAAAAGGCTTTCATTTTTACTGATTTTTGGCTTTCTAAAATCATTTTGTTGGTTTTCATGGGTTTTTTGTATTTTTTTTTTGTTTATTTTATTTTTTAGTTGTATTGTTTTTGAAACAGAGCCTCCTCATACAGCCAGCAGCTAGCTAGCTAGCCTAAGTGTGTGTGTGTGTGTGTGTGTGTGTTTCATTTGTTTGTTTTGGCAGAGAAAGTACTGTATGAGACAGAGTTTTCCTGTGTAGCCCTGGCTGTCCTGGAACACTCTCTGTAAACCAGACTAGCCTCAGACTCAAGAGATCCACCTGCCTCTGCCTCTACTTCCCAAGCGCTGGGAATAAAGTCACATGCTACCACTGCCAGGCCTTTGAACTCACGATTCTTCTCCTCAGTCTCCCAAGTAGAGGAATTACAAGAATGGGTCACCACATCTATCTGGCCAATGGTGACTCGACTCAGTTTGCACAGAAGGTAGGGTGATAAAGGCTAACTAGGGAAGTCAGGTCTGCTGGTGCACACCTCTAAACCCAACACTAGGAGGCGGGAGACAGGCCACCGAATCTCTGTTGAGTTCAAGGTCAGCCTGGTCAACACAGAGTTCCAGGACAGCCAGGGTTACTTATTGAGATCCTGCCTGAAACAAATGAACAAACAAAACAATACAAAAACATAAAGAACAGAAACTCATCTTGTTGAAAATCTTTCTGAGGGCTGGAGAGATGGCTTAATGGTTAAAAGCACTGGCTTCTCTTCCAGAGGACAAGTGTTGGGATCCCAGCACCCACACCAGGCGGCTTACAAACACCTGGAATTCCAGTCCCAGGGAATCTGATGACCCCTTCCAGCCTCCTGGAGCACCCATTCATCCAAACTGCATGAACATACAGACAGAAACACATATGCTTACGTAAAATTTTAGGAAAAAAAGAAAGAAAAAACTTTCTGGAATCTAGTAAGTCATTTTCCCCTCAATTTTGAGTTACAACCCATGAGAAAACTGTTCAAATTGAATCATCACATTCTGTAACCTATGTAGTCTATAAAGCAAAAGAAGGCCATTGATCTAGTTTCCTGAATCAAGATGTGAGGAGTTGCTTGCCTCCTACTCCTGTCAATAAAGGAAGGAGCTATCAGCGAGGCAGTGGTAGTGCACACCTTTAATCCCAGCACTAGGGAGGCAGAGGCAGGCAGATCTCTCTCGAGTTCGAGACCAGCCTGGTCTACAAGAGCTGGTTCCAGGACAGGCTCCAAAACTACAGAGAAACCCTGTCTCAAAAAAACAAAACAAAACAAAAAAAAAAAAAAAAAAGGGGGAAGGAGGTACTAACCCCAGTTGCCATGCCTTTTCCACAAAAATGTGGCATATTCAACACATTTAATCACAAAAAACTGTCAGTCAATAAACCTCTTCCTTAAAGGACAGAGGCAGGCAGATTTCTGTAAGTTTAAGATCAGTCTGGTCCATATGGTGAGTTCCAGGGCAGCTAGAACTATTATACAAAGAAACCTTGTCTCAAAAAAAAAAGTACTGCCTGCACTTCCAGAGGAACCAGGTTTGATTCCAGAACCCACCTGGCAGGCTACCAACTAACTCTGATGGCAGGGTACTTGAGGACTCCCTTTTCTGATCCCCAAGAGCACTACTAACTTATGTGATCCACAGACATGCATGCAAAACACTCATACACATAAAATAAAAACAAAAGAAACAGAGGAGGAATATGAGAAGAAACGCAACCCTAGAGTTAAAGAGTAATTTTACATTTTGGTTTTGTTTCCCCTTACGCAACAGTGAAAGGGCTTGAACATAGGGTCTTCTGACTCTCCTGCACACTAGCCCATCCCCATCCCCATGGTTTGCAGTTTGTTTTGCAAAAACACCCTTTTAAGAATGTAAAACCGAGGCAGTCTGGCAGAGGTAGTGCACTCTTTAGGCAGAGGCAAGCAGATCTGTTTCAGTTTGGAGTCCAGCCTGGTCTACAAAGTGAGTTCCAGGATGTTACACAGAGAAACCATGTCTTGAGAAAAAACAAAAACAAAAAAGAATTTAAAACTGGATCCTGGACTGGACGGTGGATCTCTGTGAGTTCAAGGCCAGCTTGATCTACTAGAACTAGTTCCAGGACAGGCTCCAAAGCCAGAGAAACCCTGTCTCGAAAAACCAAAAAGGTGCTCCTTTCAGCAGGGCAGTGGTGGCGCACACCTTTAATCCCAGCACTTGGGAGGCAGAGGAAGGCGGATCTCTGCGAGTTTTAGACCAACCTAGTTCCAGGTTAGGCTCCAAAGCTACAGAGAAACCCTGTCTTGAAAAACCAAAAAAGAAAAAAGTCCTCCTTTCTCATCAGATCAACTGAAAAAAAAAAATTTCTATTTAATCAGCTCCAAATGTCTTGAATAAAACATTTTACACTTGTCTGATTGATTAGTCCTTGAGGAAACATCTCAGAAGGTTCTCTTTCCCCCTTTAGATTCAACAGTCTTAGGGAAGTATTAGAATTAGTTTGTAATAAATGCAAAAGAATGGATGTCTTACCTGGGGCATTTGCTATAGCCAATGGCAGACCCGGAATCTGGTGCACCTGGATCCCTGAAGTACCCAATGCACTGAGGTTAATGGTCTGGAGGCCTGGCATGGAGGAAAGTTGAGCAGCATTCACAGTGACTGTGCCAGCAGGAATGGAGGCAGCTGAGGCAATGGGTGTAAGGGTGGTATTGCTGCTGCTAGTCTGCCCCAAGGAAACGCCCTGCATAGGGGCCAAGGTGATTGTCTGGGCTTGCGGGTTCTGAACTTGAAGATTCTGCAGCTGAAGGGTCTGCCAACTGACCTGTCCATTGGGCCCCACTGTTGGTGTCCGAATGATGATGGGACCAGAGTTCTGAACAGCCTGAAGCTGGAGGTTCTGGAGGGTCTCCTGGGAAATAGCTTGAGTTGTGAAGGTCTGCCCTGACAATGGTGCTGCCTGGAGGGCCTGAAGAGCTTGTCCCCCTTGAACTAACTGAGGCTGAATAAGAATTTGTTGTTGCTGTGTCTGCTGACTTTGCTCTCCCTCTTTTTGCTGACTTGCTTGAAGTGAGCTTCCTGATGCCTGATTCTGCTGGATGTTGAGAGAATCAGATCCTTGTAGACCACCAACCCTTTGGGGTGTCTGGCCTTGAGAACTGGTCCCTGATGATCCGCTGGTGGTAAAGTTCATAATTCCCATGTTGCTGGTGGTAGTAGTTGTTGAGTAGCTATTGGCATTGGTGAAAAAGGAACTGGAACTAGCTTGTGATGACACCAAGCTGGCAGAACTGATGGCAGTCCCTGAGGTGACAGGCTGTGAGCCGCTCTCCTGGGACCCAGAACTGCTGCTGATGGTGACTGCCTGAGAGCTGGGAGTCAAGGTAGCTGCAGAAACGCTGTTGACAGGTAACAAGGTGATGTTCCCATTCAGGGCCACTGGAACATTGGTCACATACTGAGTCTGTCCTGAGAGCACATTATTAGCAAGGCCTTGGAGGGGCACAGCCTGCTGGAGTAGATTTGGCATAGCAGCAATTATGTTGCCCCCACTTCCTCTATTTGTGATGATCTGTTGGTTTGCACCCGGTATGATCTGTATTTGACCAGAACCATCCTGCTGCACTTGGGCCCCAGTGGCAGCAAACTGCAGCTGCTGCCCATCAACAGTCTGGAACTGTGGGATTACTTGATACTGAATATTGGGCATTACTCCAGGTAGACCTGTCAGAACTTGCTGGTTTTGTAAGTTGGGGGTAGTAGCCACAACATACTGCCCACCAGAGACTGTGCGATTCTTGGAAGACTCGCTGCCATTGCTGCCATTGGTACTGTTGCCACTCTGTTCCTTTGAGGTAGGGGTAGCCCCAGAGGAGGAAGAGATGATCTGCCAGCCATTGGCACCCTGTGAAAGTTGTGTGGCTGTGAGGTCAAGTTCACCTGTGCCCCCTGACTGACTCGGACCCTGGGAGTTGTTGCTGTTCTCATTGGGTGACTCAATTCTGCTGCAGGTTGCTGCCAGCAGAGCCAAAGGAGATGGCTGGGATTCCTGGCCAGAAGAGAGGAAAGGAGTTAGTGGCACCCAATAGCCGGCCTAGGGGGCAGTATTCAGCAGACAAACAGCAACAATGCAGGCATAGAGCAAAAACCAGAAACAAAATGCTGACTTTTGTGTATCGTTCCAATTTCAAATTTGGGGACCCTCTAGACCAACTATCTTTCTGTGTGTACTTCCATACCGTAATTCTTCCCAGCATTTTTGATTAAGGAGTTTTCTAGGAATATTTACACCCTCTCAACACCTTCCCCATTTTTGACTGATCACTCACCTGCCCTCCTCCGCCACCACTGCTGCTGCTACTGCCTGTGCTGCTGCTTCGAGTCTGAGAAAAGGCCGCACCACCACCATTACCATTACCCCCATTACTGCCACCAACACCTTTTTCAATCTTCACCACGGCTGTCACTTCATCCATGGAGTGATCTTGGTCTAAAAATAATTACAAAACAATAAAGTAGAAGGGGGTGAACCTCCCTAAGGTTTAAAATAAGGCTTTGACAAAAAAACATCTTAAAATAGGGCCAGAATGTTGGCAGGCCTGAAATCCCAGAATTTGGAACTGGAGGTAAGAGCAGCAAGCAATATTTCAACTACATAGTAAATTGGAAGCCAGTGCCCTAGGTGTGCGGGACAGGCACATGGCTCAATGGTGTCCAGGATGCGTCACTATTTTCCCAAGTACAAAATTAAAGCCAGAAATAATTCAAAAAGGGCTTTGGGAACCAGGCATAGTGACACACACCTATAATCCCAGCACTTGAAGAATGAGGAGGGTGGCTCACCAGTTCTAGATCTATCTGGGCTACAGATAGAGAGAGACCAGGTCTTAAAACAAAACAAACAACACTTCTGAGGAAGAGAATCCGAGGGCAGTGTCTCAGGAATAACAAAAAGCTGCCCCTAGTAATGGCACACTCTGTAATCCCAGGACTCAGGAAGAAGCAGGAGGATAGCTAAAAATTAGAGGCCAGCTTGGTCTTCATAGTAACTTTCAAGCCAACGAGTATCAAGGAGACCCTGTCTCAAAAGGAAAAAGAAAGCATTCTGGGAGGAAGAGGGAACCCAACATGTGGGTGGATGGAAAATGTGCTAAAATTAGGATGAAGAAAGATGGGGAAAGATCAAGTGTAAAAAAATTAACCAAACAGGAAGGGAAGGAGAAAGAGTACATTCTAAGTACAGACGAGGAGACATCTGAACACACTTCAGGGACTAAAGTGGGCTAGGACTTAGAACCCAGGTTTGGGGCTGAGAGGGCGGGCCCTAGAAGGAAGGGGCGGTTTCGGGGTGAGGGGCGTGGAAAGGGCGGGTCAGATGGGGGAAGGGAAATGCACAGGGGGTGCGGGGGAGGGCCTGGGGCAGGCAGCGACCGGAGGGCGGACCGGGAAGGCGGTTGGCTCAGGCGGGGCCTGCACTGGTCGGGCCGCCCCCGCGGCGCCAGCCCCCGACGGGAGGAGCCTCAGGCGGCCGGCCGAGTCGTGGGGGGTAAGGCCCGTCCCCCGTGGCCGGGGCGGGCAGGGGGCGGGCGAGGCCACGCTGCCCCCTCCCCCGGGGCGGATGGCCCATCCCCCTCCTCCTCCGAGGCCCCGCCACTGCCCCTTCTCCCTCCCTTCCCTCCGCCCCGGGCGGGACCAAGGCCGCCGCCGCCGCCTCCCGCCCGCCCCCCCTCACAGCGGGGACCGCCCGGTCGGCCCTCGCGCGCGCCCCCTCACTCCCCTCCCACCCCTAGACGCGGAGTGGACTCATCCTTACCGCTCATGGTGGCAGCTGAGGGGCGAGCTCAAGGGGGTCCTGTCCGGGGGGGTTGGGGGGGGCCGGGAAAAACGCGGACGCTGACGAGGCAAGCGAACCCGGACCGGACAGGGAGGGGGGGGTAAGGAGGAGGGAGCTGCGCGCCACAAGCCCGGCCTAGTTTCCGCCCCTTATCTGCTGCCCCGCCCAATGAGGGAGGGAGAAGGGAGGGCCTTGCGGAAGACAGGCGGGCAGCCTACCCAATGGAGAGACGCGTTCCCCCGATAAGGCGTGTGAGGCCAAGTTGCGTGTCTGGTGTCCGCCCAGAAAGACCGCCCTCTCAGTTTTAGCAACCAATGAAAGGTTCAGGAAGTGAGGATGGGCGGGACGGGATGACGATCGACTTGCAGAGCAACCAGTGAAGCGCCAGGCGGGCTCCGAGACCGGTGGGGATAGGAAGAGCTTGGGTAGGAGTGACAGGACGACGACCAATTAGAGTCTTGGGCATGCCTGGGCAAAGTCCGATTAGGTGGAGAGTAAGAAATAGGCCGGAACGGGCCGTCTCAACCAATCAGAATTCAGGCGGGTAGTTAAGAAAGTTATGATTGGACCACAGCTGAAACGAGCAGGAACATGACGAATATTGACAGGAGCCGAAAGCCAATTAAACGCCGAATAAAAAGGTGCAGCCTGGAACTTGGAACGGGGAGAGGAGACCTGGCTTCCCCTCAGATACGCAGACCAATGAGGGGAAGGGAGAAGCCTGGCACCGCCCCTAGCTCGGCCAATGGTCGTTCTAGGGCCGCCCATCGTGAGGAGGGAACCGAGCTGTGCCAAAAGGCGTCCGTCGCCATGTTGGCCCTGTCGTAGTCCCGCGCCCGTCGTTAGGCCGTGCGCTCCCGCTGAGCCCCGCTCCGCGCCTGTCAGAGCCGGCGCGAGCGAGCGCGGTGTGGCGCCCCACGGGGTCGCATCCCGCAGGCGTGGGTGGGCGGCGCCCTCTCCCGTGGGTGGATGCCCTGCGGCGGCGGGCGGGCCGCGAGCTGGTGACGAGCTGGTGACGGCACTCAGATCTCAGTTCGGGGCTGACCAAATGGAAGGCTTCGGGAAACTAGCAAACGCCATTTTCTTCAGCGTTCCCAGGCTCGCCAAATCGAGGGCCAGGGTTCCCTTGTCCAGAACTCTTCTGTGAGACTAACGTACGCTGAGGAACTCCCAGGAGCGAAGCTCTCCTACTGAACTTCCATTTCCCCTCTTTCCTCGTAAACACCGCTTAAGCAGAAAGCACAGTAACCTAGTTACTTCCTTTTGCAATCACGGTGGTTAAAGATTTTGCCCGAGGCACTTGACTCCCTGGCCTCCATTTTGCCTCCTTTATCCTTGTTGGAGTGGCTAAGGCCTGGATAGTTTGTCAGGGACAGGGAGCACTTGTAGTTAATACAGCGTTGCTGCATTATCTACACCACTCAGCATTCCCGAATGCAGGAGTATTACCAGCTCGATTTAAAGCACTTTGAAGATGATAGAAACAGGCCTCTGAGCCGGGCGATGGTGGCGCACGCCTTTAATCCCAGCACTCGAGAGGCAGAGGCAGGCGGATCTCTGTGAGTTCGAGACCAGTCTGGTCTACAGAGCTAGTTCCAGGACAGGCTCCAAAGCCACAGAGAAACCTTGTATCGAACTGGTTCTGGAGGTACCAGTTAGATAGGCTTTTAGTACTACTTATGACAAGCTTATAAGAAATAGTGCGGGGCTGGAGAGATGGCTCAGAGGTTAAGAGCGTTGCCTGCTCTTCCAAAGGTCCTGAGTTCAATTCCCAGCAACCACATGGTGCCTTACAACCATCTGTAATGGGGTCTGGTGCCCTCTTCTGGCCTTCGGGCATACACACAGACAGAATATTGTATACATAATAAATAAATATTTAAAAAAAAAGAAAGAAAGAAATAGTGCATGGTGGTGCATGCCTTTAATTCCAGTCCTAGGAAGGCAAAAGCTGGAGGATCCCTGAGAATTCGAGGCCAACCTGGTCTAAATAGTATCCTATGCAAAAAGGTCGTGTATCAAAATAACGAAAATTAAGATAAAGCTAGGCGGTTGTGGTGCATGCCTTTAAATTTAGCACTGGGGTGGGGGACAGAGACAGGCAGATCGGTCTCTGTGAGTTGGAAGCCAGCCTGGTCTACAGAGAGAGTCCCGGGACAGCCAGGACTGTTGCACAGAGAAACCCTATCTCGAAATTAACAGACCAGCAGTGGTGGCGCATGCCTTTAATCCCAGCACTTTGGAGGCAGAGGCAGGCGGATCTCTGTGATTTCGAGGCCAGCCTGGTCTATTATACTTGACAGACTCCAAAGCTACAGAGAAACCTTGTCTCAAAAAAAATAAGTATCAGAAATACGTATTTTAAGGGGAAACATAGTGGCTATTTCTGTAATTGGAAGGTTGAAGCATTCGGGTTGCTGGAAGATTGAAACCAGCCTGTGTTTGCTTCAAAAAAAAAAATTAAAAATATACTTCCCTACAAAATCTTGTTGTTTTGTTTTGATCTCCCACCCCCACTTCCCGAGATGGTTTCTTTGTATAGCCTAGGCTATCTTGGAACTAGCTCTGTAAACTAGAGCTGGCCTCAAACTCACGGAGATCTGCCTACCTCAGCTTGCCAAGTGTTTGGATTAAAGCCTTTACTACACCTAGCCTTTTTTTTTTTTTAACTTTGTCTTACAGAATAGGAAACAGGGTGGCCTAGGTTGGCCTAGATCTCCCTTACTCCCTTAATCCCTGCGGGGATTAGAAAGTGCTCGCTGCCCCCCTCAGTGGGTAGAGTCCTTACTTTTATTACTATTTCTATAGGAGGTGGGTATTAGTCACTCTCCTTCTGGCGTACATTGTTCACAGGAAACACTCAGCCCTCCCACTGGCACCTGTCCTGGAACTCTCTTTGTAGACCAGGCTGGCCTTGAACTCACAGAGATCTGCCTGCCTCTGCCTCCTGAGTGGTGGGTTTAAAGACTTGCGCCATCACCATTGTTGTTCACAAACATCACCTCAGCTCCTTGTCACACCCCTATATCCAAAGAGACTGGAATGTAATAAGTTGGCAGTCATCCATGGAGCGCCACTGGAGCAAAAGGCGCGGACCCTCCCGCAGGGACTTGCCTTGGCCCAGACTCCAACTCCCAGCCAGCCAAGGCTAGTTAGGCTCACTCTGGGAAAAGGAACACGTGGTCTCCGGGTTTGGGTGGGCTCCTCTACCCACCATGCTGTCTTAGCCCACCCAAACTGTTATTAAACGCTGGCATTTTAATCTGGTCTAATTGGGGTTATTTGTGTCGACGGAGCGGCTTTTCTTAAGATTAAACCAAACAACCTTAACTTATGTTTTAAAACAGTGTCTGCTTGTGTAGCCCTGGAACTTACTTTGTGGGGCTGTTCTTTTCTTTGAGACAGGGTTTCTCTGTAGCTTTAGAGCCTGTCCTGGAACTCGCTCTGTAGACCAGGAGGTTGGCCCCAACTCAGATTCCCCTTCCTCTGCCTCCTGAGTCCTGGGATTAAAGGTGTGTGTCACCACCAGCTGGCGATCAAGCTGTTCTTGAATTTACAGAGGTCACCAATCTCTCTCTGCTGAGTGTTGGTGTTCAAAGCAGGAACACTGAAAATATTAAAACAAATTACAAATAATCTGGACAGGTACCCAGGCAATGTTGGCATACACCTTTAATCCCAGCATTCGGGAGGTAGGTGACTCTCTGGTCTACAAAGCAAGAAGAGCTGTTACACAGAGAAACCCTGTCTAGAGAGGGGAGAGAGATGGTTCCCCTGCCAACCTGCCAACCAAACCAAATACATGAACTTAGGAATCCAGTTGGTAAGAGAACGCCCAGTTCTCAAAAAACAGCCTCTCACCTACACACACTGTGACCTATATATCCCCACAAAATAAGTAAATGTAATTCCCAAAAGCTGCCCTCTGACCTGCATACACACACAGAGGTTTGTTCTCCCCATCTCCTCCGAAAAAAAATAAATGTAATCTAAAGGAAAAGGCTGGTGGGAGAGGGAGACTGGAGAGAAGAAAGCTTCAGGACCAAAGATACTTCCTGGAAGGAAGAGACTCCATTACTCATCCTTGTAAAGTAAGATCCTGACGGCTGTGAAGCTGTGTAAAGTACTGGGCACCAGGTCACACTTAACTAAAGGAGTGGGGAGAGGCCAGTGCTGGAGGTCAGCATTCTAACTTGTTTCCTTCCTTCTCACTGGGTAGATCAGGCTTTCCTACAATTTCTGCCCCAGAGTGCTGGGATTAGAGGTTTCCTCCCAGGCTTCCATGCTTCTGCCTCTGAAGTGCTAGGACTCACACACAGTAAAAGAGCATTGGAGACTGGGTGCAATGAATCCCTGTCATGCCAGCGTCTGGGAACTAGGAACAGCAAAGACAGAGCATTGGAAGTTCAAGGCCAGCCTGACCTACATTTTGCTGATTCTAGGTGAGACTGTGACTCCAGAAACAGAGACAGAAATTGAACTGGAGGACAAACTGGGCTACGGGATATGCAAATTTTGGCTAATGAAAGCTTGTCTCCAGCCAAACAGAAATTGAGAGACGAGGAAAGAAGAGAGGACAACACCTAAAGCCCTGAAGAACAAGAACGTTATAGCAAAAAGGACTGGGAACAAATCGGGTTTTTCAATCTGGGGATTCGAGTTCCAGGACAGGCTCCAAAGCCACAGAGAAACCCTGTCTCGAAAAACAAAAAACAACAACAATCTGGGGATTCGGGGAATGTATGAGAACTCTAGAACTGACTGTAGACAATCTTGCAATCGTCATTAAATGACCCATTCTGTGTATTTGCTGTCTTTGTTTCCTTATTAGAGAAGCATTGTCACACCAGGCAGCAGTGGCGCACACCTTTAATCCCAGCACTCAGGAGATAGAGGCAGGCAGATCTCTGTGAGTTTGAGACCAGCCTGGTCTACAAGAGCTAGTTCTAGGACGGGCTCCAAAGCTACAGAGAAACCCTGTTGAGAGAGAGAGAGAGAGAGAGAGAGAGAGAGAGAAGCATTGTGA